CTAATCATCTTGAAATCTAATGAGTTTACAAAATTATTCGAAATGTAAAAAAATATTTAGATAAGGCTTTAGAGTTGAGAATTAAGGTGTCGTTTGGTGTGAAGCATTATATCAAATAATCTTGGGATAAAATTATAGTGACGCTTAGTTTGTTGTTTGGTTGACAAGTTCGGGATGACTTATCTCGAGATTAACAATTAGTACCGTTATAAGTTATCCCTTTCTTTGGATGGTATAATAATTCCATCATAATTTTTCCTGGAATAAATCTGTTAAATGACAAAATCACCCTTCAAACTCTTTATGTTATCACTTTTCATATATATATATATATATATAGGTGAAACTAAAGGGATTTTGTGTTGTAAATCCCGGGCTTAGGTTGAGGGGTTTAGGGGTTAAAAGTCAAGGTACGACTCCCCAAGGACCAACCAAGGGTCCTTGAGGAGGACCTTAAAGTCTAAACCCCAGAACTGCCCAAGAACCAAAAAGCTATCAAAAAGTTATGACCTACGGATGGGACCTATGCCCCGTAGGTCCATCCAAGCCCCGTAGGGCTTGGTCATAGGTCAAAGCTATAGATGAAAAGTTCCAGACCCAAACCACGGATAGCCAGCACGGCTCGTGGACCCACCCACGGTCCGTGGGTGGGGTTTCGTGAGTCACCACTTGAAGTTGTCCAATTCGACCAAGTTGGGGGAAAAGTGGTAAACTCATGGGTGGTTAAATGAGTTAGGGTCGCTTTATTTTGATTAATTAGAGTTATTTAAGGCTATATAAAGTATTAAACACCCTTTTTCAATTCATTATTTCCAAAACACAAAATAAAAACTACCCTCATCTCCAAATATTCTCTCTAGAAACCATCATTGGATAAGAAGGAGTCAAGGTTTGAAGCTCAAGATTTCATCTTCCTCACCCAATTTTCGTGGAGTTTCTTCCATAAAGGTATGGTAGTTTTCATCCTTGGTTAGTTTCCACCCAAGGAGCCCCTTCAAAAGATGATTTCAAACTTTCCAAAATCCCCCAAAAAGCTAGGGTCTCAATCTAAGCATGGGTTCAATTCCAAAACGTTTTCAAAGGTTTATATGTGATGAATTATGAATGGATTGGTAAATTAATGGTGAATTAAGATGGAATTTCCCTATGAACCCATGTTTTCCCCAAAATACTAAATTGTGAATTGTGATTTGGGAGTGTGATTATGAAAGCATGTTGAATTGTTTATGTCTATATGTAATTAGTTATTGAATCATGATATTCCTCTTCTCTAATGTAGTATTCTAGATGTTTGGGTTGAGATTGATTCATAGCCTTGGAGCGCAATTTCATGAAGGATTTATGTATGATCATGATGTGAAGTATATGTGTGTGATCTCAATGAAAGTATTATTATCATGTTTAGAATGCAGTTGTGTTATTATTGAACGCTTATTCTCAATTAACACTTATGAATGATGATGATAGAAGGTGAAGGGTTTCTACAATGTAATGTTACATCTTGAATTGGCAGACTTAGGGCATCCTCTTCTTGTATAATTGAAAGTAATGTGATTGTGGTATCTTGAATTGGTAGGCTTAGGGCATCCTCTTCTTGAATAAATGAACGTGATCTTGATTGAATTACCTTGATTGGTAGGCTTAGGAATCCTCTTCGTGAGTAACTAATGTATCTTGACTAAATGAACATGTAATTGGTAGACTTAATGTTGGTAGCCCTTTCATAAATGAATGATGAAGTATTCTAGGCTATGTCTTGAACCGGTAGACCTAATGGTGGTAGCCCTTCATGATGAGTCTAGAAACTAATGTGATGATAAGCCTTGAATCGGTAGACCTAATGGTGGTAGCCCTTTCATGTGTGAAATGATGAACTTTGAATCGGTAGACCTAATGGTAGTGGCCCTTTCTTGAGGATTCAATGAGCTATCCTTATAATGTACCTTGAATCGATAGACCTAATGGAAGTGTCCCTTTCATGTGTAATGTACTTTGGGTCGGTAGACCTAATGTTGGTATCCCTCTCAAGTACAATAATGTTAATGTGAATGAACTACTCTATGGGAATGGAGACTAAGTACCGAGTGGATATGGTAAGATGGAAGCTCTCCCTACGGTAGGCTGGGTTTCAATGAACATCTTTCTTATCTCATAACTATGTGCCCACATAGGATATTAGCTAGTGGATCCACCTAAGCTAAAATGTTACCACTACCTTAGGCAAGTAAACCACCTCTTTACGGTGTGGGGCAAGACATCGAATTCCATGTTAAGCTCACATGGTCTATGTCGCTTAATGCTTATTCCCATCATGTGAGATACGTGCTATGGTTGCTTGAGAAGTTCTATGAAGTGTGGGTGGTAGTATGGGAAGTCATCCATGCATTGCACGAGTAGGCTTTGAGAGGGCTATGGTGTGATTCTCCAATGTCTTAATGTCTAAAGAATGAAAGTGCTCTTAATGAAGCTAATGAAAATGTTGACTTAAGTGCTTAATGTAATGATGCATGTTTTACTTGGATTGTATTATGAGTTACTTTCCTTGTCATGACTTATGAAATGTATGTATTCCTTATGCATGAGTATTGACTAAAGATGAGTAATGAAGAATGGTAAGTACATATTCGGTGGCCTCCAAGTGGTACTTAGTAGGAGTAGTAGTATGGGACTATTCTTACATTGCATAAGTATAGCTTAGGGTTACTTAAGGTGAATGTTCTAATGTGATGAAATGGCTTATATGTTGAATGTGATTGTATCTTATGCCTTTTGCTAAAGTTCATGATGTTTTCTCAAAATTTGCATATAGCATGGTTTTCAACCAAAATGTCCTTTTTAAGCATGATTTTTGCATGGCTATCATACTTAGTACACTTTTGTGTGCTAACCGATATTTCTACATTTTTACAAAAGTGTAGGGTTTGGATACTTGATGTTCTATTCTTGGAAGATAGGTTTCTAAGGAGCAAGGAGATGAAGATTTGGTGAGTCCTCATAGTTTCGAGGACGAACCCACTATTTTCCTTTGTGTCTTTTATTTTATGTTTAGAGCTTTTGTATGGGCTATGTCCCAAAGTTTTAAGTCTTATGTTTCTATATGGTTTGAGACAAAGTATAGAAAGACTTTCGCTTGCTTTTATGAAAATGACTTCGATTGTAAAGAAAAGTTCTAAATTCCGCACTATTTTTCCTATGCTCTTATGTTATGAATGCTATGAGGCTTGTATGAGACTTTTAAGAGTCTTGTATGTCATGTCACATTCGGGGTGTAGGCTCGGGTCGTGACGTATATATATATATATATATATTACTTAAAATCACGAACTCCTAACTTGAATGTTAAATTACTATAATCTCCCTAACTTAGGTTGTGACTTTTTCGATCAGATGTGACTTTCCGATGAATTGTGACTTTTTTCAAAGGGTTGTGATTTTTCGATGAGTTGTGACTTTTACAAAGAGTTGTAACTTTTTCAATAAGTTGTGACTTTTTCGATTAGTTGTGACTTTTCCGATAAGTTGTGACTTTTATCAAAGGGTAGTGATTTTTCGATGAGTTGTGACTTTTGCAATGAGTTGTGACTTTTTCAATAAGTTGTGACTTTTCTAAAGGGTTGTGGCTTCTTTGAAAGGTCATAACTTTTCAGGTAAGACACATAAAAACTCTTGTTCATACTACCCTTTGTTGACTATAAATAGAGGGGTTTCCTCTCATTTTTCAACCACAATTTTTTTTAATCCTCTACACTTCTTCTTCTTGCATTTTAAATTTTTGTGTGATTTTTTTTAGTTGAGTGAGTTCGAAGTTTAGCGGAATATGATGTACCACTATTCTGATGAAGTAAATCATCTATCTTAAGAGGGTATATTCCATAACTTTGAGTACTTGAGGAAAATAATTTTGATGATATAATATTATTTTTTTGCTTAATATATTAATTAATATGTAATGCTCTAATATATGAAGTTAGAATGAGATTTTCTAAATTTATTTGTTTTTGTTAAGAATTTCTCTTGTGATGTAGATATATATTTCTAAATATCTTTTTCCAAAATTTAGAGAATTGTCATGATTTGGCTTTTTGATGCTCAAGACAAAAGAATGGCTTTATTTATCAATGTTACTTATCTAATTTAGATTGTCAGGAAGTTTGCTTCAAAATAGTAATTACTATATGAACTTTAGACCTTTTGTTTTACTTATTTACTATTTTTTAATATTTCAGTATTTTAGACAAAGAAACGATCATATGACTTGTAATAACACAGTTGAAGTTTGTATCAGTTTAATTTTTATTATTTATTTAATAGCTAATTTTTATGAGATAAATATTTTCATTAATTGTAATGACCCGAAAGGTCATTTTGGTGATTTTTCGTGGAAATGACTATTTTGCCCTTTCGGTAGTTGCCCCGAGTCCCATGTTTTGTGGTTGTAAAGTTGGTTTGAGGAAAAGTTGGTAAAAAGTTGAGTTTTTGAGAAGTTGAGTTTTTTATGAGTTAAAATTGGTTAAAAAGTGCTTTTTCGAGTCATTTGGAGTTTCGGGACTCGGATCGGATTTCCGTCGATTCCGGCAGTTTTAGAATGTCGAAACGGGTCTGTGTGAAGTTACGGAGTTGAATTTGGAGTTGAAATGAAGAATTGAGGTCCTAAGTTGCTAAAGTTGTGAAATTTTGATAAAGAGTTGACTTTGGTCAACATATGAGGTTCCGAGGCTCAGATTGAAATTCCGAGAGTACCGTTGGTTTCGGGAGGCGATTCTAAGTCTAGAATGAGTCTTGGTTGAATTTTTCGACGCTCCGTTTGAGTTTCGAATTTTTTTGGCGTTAAACTAGTTTCTTGGCATCTTATTAAATTTCGGGTAAAGGAGTCCTCGAATTCAAATTCCGACAGTTCCATTGAGTCCGGAACGTCAAATTTAGTGCGGGTACATATTTATTTTGTGTGCACGAGATTCCGAACGAATCCCGAGGGTCCAACGGGGACTTAAACTTTGGGCTTATTGCTGTGTTTCAGCTGCAACACAGCCCATTTATTTATTTTTAAGTAAAAAACCAGTAGCCATTCTCCCCCAACTTGAAAAATACCCATTTCTCCATTTTTAGACTTTGAGAGCTCGAAAATAGGTGATTTCAAGTGGGTTTTCGCAAGGAATTCATTGGATTGTGGTGATTTGGAGCGTGCTCGGAAGGGTAAAACTCAAATTTGAGTTACTAGTTGAAGTGTTTTGAGGCAAGTGACTTCTAAACTTTGTTAAACTCTTAGACTACACATGACTACTTTCCTAATTGTGGTGGGGAGTAATGGGGATTGAGGATGAGTTTTATTTGTTGATTGAAATTGTTGTAATTGAAAGATGGGGAATAAAACGAGCTAAATGTGTTATATGTGACTTGAATTTGTTGAATAAGTCATGTGATAACTGATATTGAGGGGATAGGAGAGCATGAGTAGGCTATGATTGATACAGACATTGATGTTGAAACAGATGATGTGTAATACTATGATGTGGTCGTGATATGGTTGTGATTGAGACAGATGACGTGTAATACTATGATGTGATCGTAATATGATTGTGATTGATGACATGTGCATATTCATTATTCATCCCATGTGTGAACTATCTGTTGCATGAGTTCTGAGACACTGATATGAGGATGGATGGATATGAGACACAATTGAGACTAGCTCCGGCTAGAGATATATGAGATGGACTAGCTCCGGCTAGCGATTTGGATGCCGATGGGATCTGGTTCCGGCGGTGATACATGGTCCATGTGTGGCCCCCATGGGTTCTGATTTGAGTATTCAGCGCGGACTGATTACGTCAACAGATGTGTATCGTAGGACAGACATGCATCACGACTACATGACATCATTATTGCATTTGCATCGCATTTGACTTCATCTTTGTCTGTGGTGTGTGGATTTTACCTACTTGCTCCTCTTCATGTGATATATGATCTATTTGCTCTTATATGAGGATATGAGGTTGATGTTGAGATACTGTTGGATATATCTGTTGATTATGAATTGTGTAGTATAGGTTGTTGGTTCGCTGTTAGAATGAAGTTTCGGTGGTTCGGTTGGGATTGAAAGGAGTTGTTTGTAGCTGCTAGTTTTGCTTAGTTTAGAGTTACTTGCGAGTACCTGTGGTTTTCGGTACTCACCCTTGCTTCTACACAATTGTGTAGGTTGACAGCTCTCTCAGATTCGGCTTAGTATTTTCTTTAGCAGATTGAGCTTTGGGACATACTCGAGAGGTAGCGGTTCATTCCAGACGTGCCCTCAAGTTATCTATATTTACTGTTCTGTTCTATTCTAGAACTTTACTATGAGACTTGTATATTTTATTCAGATTCTGTATTAGAGGTTTGTACATGTGACAACCAAATTCTGGGTAGTGTTGAGTTTTAATTAAAGTCTTCCGCTTATTTATTATCTTTTATTCTCGTATTTCTACTTCTCTATCGTTGTGGTTGGGTTAGGCTGACGTGTCCGGTGGGAAATGGACACGTGCCATCACATCCGGATTTGGGGTGTGACACATCTTTTTGGCAGCTTTGGGGTTAGACTTTAGGGCCCTCCTCAAGGACCCCTTGGTTGATCCTTGGGGAGTCATACCTTGACGTTTAACCCCT